GACTTTTGTATTATAGCTTCATTTTATATCATATTGTGCGTATATTATATACCTTTCAACCGACTTCAAAAAGGAGGTTATCAACTCGGCTGTATTTTATCTATACTAATATTATAAAGAGGTAAAGTTTGTGAATTGTGAGTCTGCGAGTTTGTGACGTTATAGGGGGTAATCTCTGGATCGACTGGACCGATTTAGATGAAATTTGGTAAGAAGATAGTTTGAGACCCTGGGAACGATATAGAATACTTTTTAGAAATCACCCCTTAAGGGGGTGAAAGTTTGTATTGGGAAACAATCTAGAAACGAACCCGAGCGAAGCGAGGGTGAGTCGCTAGTGCATTAATATTTCCTCGAGTTCGGGTTGCACATAAGCAGGTTTTTTCTATACTAAAATGGTACGTATGTCATTCATGGCAGTCCTTTGAGCAGATGATATAAAAATGTATATCTTTATAGCCAATAAAAAGCCTTATAGAGTATGCACGTTGTTCTAAATATACGAGTATGATGTTAGTAGCTTCTTTTATGGGAAAAATTATAAAGCTATAAAATTCCACCTTAGATGTTATTATCGATAGAGGTATTATGATCAAAGAAACTGTAATAATTTATACAAATTGTATTCATTACACTGAATTTTTAAATCATTTCAAGAATAAAAAATAACACTATTTTTTTAATATTATGTAAGCTACTAGCATTGCCCGCGGCTCCGCTCGCGTTCAGATTACCGAAAACCAAATTCTTAGGTTTTACATATTAGTATACTCTTACATTGCAGTTTGTTGTATTTTTTCTCAGAAATGAGACATATTCACGCGGTAAAAAGTCCTATATGTGGACCCGGGTAACCAGCTATCACCATACCAAATTTCATCAAAATCCCTCCAGCGGTTTCCCCGTGATGCGGTAACAGGCAGACAGACAAAAAATCTAAAAACTATAGATTCGGCCTCTGTATCGATAATAATTTCTTTTTCAATAAAATTTTCCAAAAAATATTTAATGTACACATTCGGCTTAGTTACAATTTTATTATATGTATAGATAGATTACTATAAATCAACCTCACCAAAACTTAAACTACTAACTAGTGAAGTAATAATGTACCTGCTAAATATCGACCAATATTATTACAACTAATATATTAGAAGTTCCGAGGCCCTATAAAATATATAAAGTTTTATCATAATCTGACGTCAATAGCTACACTATATTGGCTCTATAAATTCTAATCACGCATATTGCATGCCGCTGTAATAAGTTATAACAGAATGATGCATAAATTGTATTGTAATATAGCTAAATTGATCAAATATTATATGAAAATATCGTAAGGAAACCTGCATCTCTGAGAGAACAATTTTTCGAAAGACATATGAAGTCCGCCAACCCGCACTTGGCCAGGGTGATGGGTTATGGATCCACCTGGTATTGAAGAGAAGACCTTGCCCGACAGTGGGATGTTAAAAAAAGCCTGAATACATACATAATAATGATAGGACCACAAATATTGAAAACAGTAGTATAATTAATGTAAAGTCAGTTGTTTATTACCGTCTTTTAATATTTTTCAACGTAGTCAGGTTTTTTTAATAACAGTTTTAATTATTCTCCGAAATAGAATTAATTGGGATGAGAAATGATAATCATACACTGTGAGTGGAAATTATGTAACATTTCATGGAATAAATCCTTTGAAAGTCGACAAAAGAGAAAACTGGAAAAGGTATTACGTTTCATCATCCAATGTAAATAAATCATAAATTAAAAACATATTTATAAAATATCTAGCGACTCACCCTCGCTTTGCTCGTGTTGACTACATATTATACATATACATAGCTATGATGAGTTATTGTGGGTTGCATTATAACGTGTTTTTTCATTGGAATGGGATAATCTTCCGCGGTAAAAAATCGCGGTAAAAACCCGAGCGAAGCTTAGGTGAATCGCTATATAACATAAAGCAAAAGAGTTTTTTTTGTAGATTGAACGCGGGCGAAGCCACGGGTTCTGCTAGTTAAGTGTAAATCTTAATTAAACACAAATAAAATTTTAATTAAACATGATCGTAATATGACTTCACTATGACTTGTAACTGACTGCTATAGCCTTTGTAAGTTCGATGCTCGCGATATGTAAACATTAGTATTTTTTTTATTTTTCTTGATGTGATCATATCACTCATCATCATTTTTCATCAGATCATTTTTCCCACCCATTCTTTTAAAATATCGCCGAAAAGATAAATTTGGATAAACATGCAACTATTAACTACTGTCTCTTAGACTACGCCATAAAATCTCAACATTATTGCTTGTCATATGAAATTTTAGAGCAGGTGGGTATCAAAATTTTCCTGTTCCGCTATATACATTAAGTACTATATTTACGCTACTATTTTTAAATCTTCAAAGAATTTTACACTTTACTGCGATAAAATATGAGTTATATTCGCTCGATTTTTTATATGAAGGATGTTAGTTTGTGCTGCTCATTTCAACACGGGAGCTTTAAAAATGTCAATTTCATAGTAAAAATAAAACGTTGAAGTATTTTTGTGTAGCAGATATTGGATAATAAATATTTTTGTAGGCCATTGATTGGCAATTTTTTCGTTTGTTAACGTCTGACACCTTAATAACGAAATGACTGTTTCTCAGAAATTTTTACATATATATTAAGTATCATTCGTATCATATATCCAGATTTTCATTTACGTGTATTGTGGTACGTCAAAACACTTATGATTTCGTAGAAATGCCTAAATATTACTTTTTTCTTATACTTTGTTACTGTTAATCTATCTATATATATATATATATATATATATATATATATATATATAGATATATAATAAAATTCTGAGTCGAATCTGTACATTAAATATTTTTCAGAAAATCTTATTGAAATAGCTATTATTATCGATACAGAAGCCAATGTATAGTTTTTAGAATTTTTGTCTGTCGGTCTGTCTGGGAACGTATCACGTAAAAACCACTAGATAGAGTTTGGGTATGATGATAGCTGGTTAGCCGGGTCAACATGTAAGATACTTTTTACTGCGGGAAAATACCTCATCTCTGAGAAATCTGTACTAACCGTTAAAACGTACCAATGGTTTACCCAAGCGGAGCGAGGGTGAGTCGCTAGTGCTTTATATGTATAAACTTGACAAGTTTTGTTTTATAATCTTGTTCGATTAATGATTAATAATAATTCAGAGTACCCTAAATGTGAGGAGGATCAAGTCATAATCCTCCACGCTGGCCAAGTACCGTTTGGTAAACTTGACAGATCTTTCAAGAACTAAAAGGAAAAAGTTAGGTTCTCTCAGACATGCAGGCCGATTCCTGACGATGTTTTCCTTCATATAATGTATTGACAAGTGGTTATCATGTAATGTGTTAAGACTAACTCTTTATCATATACGATATTTTCGTCAATAATGGATACATTATTCTTGCTATTTCATCAAAACTACAATAATACTGGAAAGATGTTATGATTTTTCCAGTATTATTGTGATCTACCAATTTATATGATTTCCAACAACTCAAGACTTCAAATGTAAATACTATTTTTCCTCGTAGTAATTCAATTCCTTTGAATATTGTATGATGTGCGTTCACCTTAAATCACGATTTAGCCGACATTTACGAGTACTAACATGTTTTTATAACTGTGGCGAAAAACAGGAAGTGCTTATCATTGGTTTATTTAGTTACTAGTTTTAGCCTATTTATACACCCTTAGAAATTAGAAGACTCCAATTACTTCTTAGAAGCCCTTATCGTTTTGTCCTACGCAAATCTATATATATAAAAGAAAGTCGTGTTAATCCCGTTCGACCGCGTTCCAATTTTTATGATATTTTAATTTTTGGATTTCTCTTAGTCCGGAATAGGTAAGTATTAAAACATATAATTAAAATGTGAGAAAGAAAGATTTTTTCTTTTTATATCTATTTAAAACGTACCTAGCGACGAACCCGAGCGAAGCGAGGGTGAGCCGCTAGTTATAGATAAATCGTAATTATAGCATTTTATTCTTCCTACTCTAAAGCTTTTTATATTTCTTTGAGAATTTTGTTTTAATTGGATTAGCTACTGCCAAGATTTCTGAGGAAAGATGTACTCAATATTAAAAAGTGTAAACATATTTTTTAAATTCACCGACATTTTTATGTACATAACAAACATACACTTATTACTTAAGTACGTATAAATGCTCTATAATTGCACTTTTTTAATATAAGCATTATTCAATTCGATGTAGGTATGGTTATATAAGGCAGTGGTAGCCCAGTGGTAACGCGCTCGCTTGGGAAACCGAATGAAGTGAGTTCAAATCCCGGGTCTCGCACCTCTGATATTTTCATGTGCGAATCAATTAAATTCAAAATAATAGTCTATACTATAACATATGAAAAATTGTTAAAGAACGTTTGTGTGCTAAAGGCTATTATACAATAAATGATTTTATAGAAGATGGCACGCCTTGGGAATGAAGTGATCGCCTCCAGGCTATTTCAATTTTATAGAAATATTGTAATTTATAATTTAACTTTATAAAAAAAATATTGAAATAATATTAGTCCCGCTGAGTTTCTTTGGCCTGTACTTCTCAGGTCTGACTGAGGCTTCTTCTTTCTACTGGTAGTAGACTCATGACGTTCAGTAAAAAAATGTAATAATTTAATGCTGAATAAAATATTTTAAATTTGAACTTGAAGAATAGCACAAAGTATTAATAAGACTTTAGATGATCCTATATAAGGTAAAGTAGAGCTTGTATTTCGTAATAACGAACTAAGTATTACAAAATAATATTAAATAAATGGTACAATACCTGCCTGATTGGCATCGATGGTGTCAGGTTCTATTATATTATCAAATGGGGTCAAGGTGTTTTCCATAGATTTAACTGTCCCAAAATATATCTAAGTCTGTAAAGATGAAAAACAAAACCTGATATATATATTTTTGTTTCAGAGGGAGGACCCCAGTATGAATCTTACCCTGAACGCATCAGCAAAATGGGTAATTGAAGCATCACGGGGAATCCAAAACCCTAACACACTATTAGAGAAGTACTCCTTGAATAGAAAAGTAGATGATCCCACTAGAGCTTTAGTTTTGACTTTTTATGGCATTCTTGTCACTATCGGCGCTGTTGGAAATGCTCTTGTTGTTATTTCTGTAAGTAATGATATTTTAAATTAATTTTATAATGTATACAATATTAATAAGGTGGAATTCTTAGAAGATATGTTGTGTGTTTGTTTGTCTGTCTGTTCGTCTTTTAAAGTCTTACCGTTAGAGCTTTATGAACACCATTTTATATTATCTGTTATTCGTTTGTTAGTCAGGAATATTAATTAATTTGCAAGTTTCTCAAAACGTTTGGGTATCAAATGCTGTAGATAAATAAATATACTTTATCGCAAAATTAAACTAATTTAAATCCTAATTTGCCTATACTGAAGTGCGAAAAATATTAATTATTATAGTGTATAACCTATGTTTAGATTGTATGTTGTATTAGTGAAAAGTTCAAAATATTCGATATAAAGGAACAGCTTTCTGTGCTCCTAATGATACGAAAATACGAAAGTACAAACTTTTGTACATACAAATGTGTTTGTATGTTTGTCACTCCTTTACGCTGAAACAGCTTGACGAATTTGGTTGAAATTTTGTACACAGATAGATTATGACTCGGAATAACTCATAGACTACTATTACTAATTTTCCTAAAGCCTTACCTATTATTAAACATAAATTTAATGAAAGCATTTTCTATTCATGTTTGTTTTGATTACAGGTAGTAAGAAAACCGGTGATGAGAACAGCCCGTAACATGTTCATAGTCAATCTGGCTGTCTCTGACGCGTTAGTTTGCTGCGTGGGGACACCTCTAACACTCATGGAATTACTAACAAAACACTGGCCCTTACCAGACTGGCCGAGCCTATGTAAAGCCTGCGGGGCGATACAGGCTATATCAATATTTGTCTCCACTATATCAATCACTGCCATCGCTTTGGACAGATATCAGGCAAGGTCGTTTTTATGTATTAGGTTATTTTATTAACGCACGTTTTTTGACACTATGTACACCCTTGCTTCACTCAGATGTCTCTATGTAATTTGCAGTAATTTCCCAAGAGAATCACAGTAACAGCGCATTTCATTGGTATTTTTACATATAATGTATACTAGTTTCGTTCGTAGTTTTACTGGCTTAGTACGTTGATAAATTATAAATAGGAGCATATATTGTACATATATATCGTACTAGGATTGCCCGCGGCTCCGCCCATATTCAGATGACCAAAAACCAAATTCTTAGGTTTTACATATTAGATAACTTTTATAATGCAGTTTTTGTATTTTTTCCCAGAAATGAGATATTTTCCCGCGGTAAAAAGTATCCTATATGTTGACCCGGATATCCAACTATCATCATACCAAATTTTATCAAAATCCCTCCAGTGGTTTTTCTGTGATGCGGTAACAGACAGACAGACAAAAAATCTAAAAACTATAGATTCGACCTCTGTATCGATAATAATGTCTATTTCAATAAGATTTTCTAAAAAATATTTAATGTTCGGCTTACTTATAATTTTATTATATGTATAGATAATTTTTGAATAAGTATTTTATTATTTTCAAAATTTTTTTTGCCACATTTATATCAAGTTTATCAACAAAATCAAAAAAATATTATTTATAACCATTTTATTGGTATTTCTTTTAAATCAAAAGCAAAAAATAAAAACGAACTCTTTAGCTACTTTTAATTTTCCCGATCAGTTTCTTTCGCCAGTTCTTGTCAGGGCTTAGGCGCTTTCTTCCCTAACTGTTAGACTTTTGACGTTCAATAAACAGTAATGACTTGATGCTGGATAAAATAATTTTAATTTGAATTTATTCCTTTGAGTCTATTCGTGTTCTTTCGATGTACAGAAAGATCAGACGAAAGTATTACGTACTCACTGAAGCAAGCAAAATACATAACTTCTACAAATTTTATGGAAATGAAACCCCGATATTTGTTGAGACGTTTGGCTCAGTTTGTAGTGACCCTACTTACTGTGCCAGCGAACACGGGTTCGAGTCGGTACTAGTTTATATTTATAATATGTATGTATTTAAAATTATATATGAGTAGTGTATCGACTATCTGGTATCCATAAAACAAGCCTCGTAGCTTACCATGGAATTAGATGGTGCTGTGTGTTAATGCCCAAACTTATTATTATTATTAAATATTATTTTGATCGAATTCGGAACTCTTTCAAATTTCATGATAAGAGCAGTATAACAGACACTAGAACAACGACATAATCAAGTTCGAATTGTTATTGTCATGAACACTGGAATTATCGTTATTATTATGAGAGGTACCTAAGTTTTAAAGTTATTTTTAGGACGTCATCTTGTCAAAAATTACGTATCCGATTTAAAAAAAAAATCATCAATATGAATGAGCATGAACCTTCAGCGTAGACAATCGATATAGTCTGTTTATTATTTCCTTAAAATGAAAAATCCTACTTCAATTACACACAAACAAACGGCGACATAAAAGATAATTGTAAAAAAAACTTAACATTCATATTCCATTATTATTAAATACCATTTTTTATATGTATAGATCTCACTATGCACTAAATAATCAGATTTATAACTTTTTCACTTTTTTCGTTTCAATCTCACTTATCAAATTATCACCTAGAAATGGAATGGTTTTTTTTTAATTCACTGTAACAAGTTTTCGCAGTTCCAAATTCTACTTTAAATAAAACTATCGTTTCGGACTTTAAGTATATTAATTTTTTGTTTCCGGCGTTACGAATAATTTACAACAAACGCGGTCACAAAAAATACTAAAGTTTAAAAGACATCTCAAAGTAGTTGTTATATGTTTCTACCCCCAAAATTATACAATAATTTAGAAGAAAAAAAAAAATAGCACCAAAATACCTTACAGTATTTGTAAATTTAATATATTTTATTTTTTATATACATAGTGTGTTGAAAGCTTAAGCAAATCTAAGAAAGTATTTCTAAATTCTAGTTTAGATTGAAGCTTGTTAATAAATAAACGTATTTCTAAACGATTGCTATTTACGATGTTTCTAACTCTGCCACGACTATTGACGTCAGACATCTTTAATATATGAGAGGGATCTGAGGCGAAGGAAATTGCAAGTCCTGAACATTTCACTGCAAGTTCGTCTCAATTTGCATTTATAAGTACTAATCTATACTAAATATGTTAGATAATATCTATACATATAATAAAATAGTAAAAACCCGAAATCTGTATATAAATTTTTATTTTAAATTCTGTATAACATATTGCGTACAGAATATAGACCCCAAAACAATAGTTATTGACATTTTTGTTAGATTGAGTGTATGTCTGTTTGTCCAGATATGTGTGCGTTGCACGCTAAAAATGCTGGACTTATTACTTGAGTCAACAGATTAAAAGACTTTAGACAGTTAAAAGATTTTTCGGTCAGAAAATTTCTGACGCCCGCCGGTACCATCCCGCACTTTCAAAAACTTCGCTCCAGGGAGTCTGACATTGAGTTTAGTTCGCGGCGCTTGCTCGACAACTGATGCGAATTTCTGATAAGTGTGCGGGATCTAGTACAAAATATATAGAGAACGCGCCTTCCGATGTTCTGATCAGAAAAAGTCTGACGTCTGATCAATTGCATCCGGGACTCATCAGAAGCAGACGTCAGACCCGTAAGAATTCTAATAGTATGCGGGGTCTAGACCAAAACATATGAGCAGAGTGCCTTCCGGTGGGAGTCAGATATTTTCTCACAGAAAAAAAATTATAATATGCAGCCGGCCTTAGAGATACATATACATATAAGCCTTAATAATAGATCAAAACAATGTACTAAAAAATGGTAGGTCATAAAAAGTCATACAGAAAAGTCCACAATAGCATAAGTCTACCCTAAGGTACTCTTACAATAACTATTTTTATCTATTTACTAGCGACTCACCCTCGGTTCGTTTGGGTTGTTTTAATTTTTTTGAGCGGAACCCTAATTCTTTTTATAGAATAAAAGTAGCTTATGTTACTCCCTATAACATCGGCTATCTTCCAGTGTAAGTGCCGTCAAAATCAGTCCAGCCATTTCAGAGATTATCCGGAACAAACAGACAGACAGACAGACAGACAGACAGACAGACACATAGACAGTCAAAAAAAATGTGTTTTTCTTATAAGTATCGTATGTAATTTCATATGCATTTAGTAAAACGCTGTTATTTTGTCGTTACAATCAGACACTTCAATTTTATCTATTTGTATAGATAACTTACCTAGGGACCCACACGAGCGAAGCGAGGGTGAGTCGCTAGTAAAAAATATACAAAAATACAAACAGAATTCGTAATGGAATGAAACTGTCAATTTCAACAACATATCTTCTGTACAAAAAGATTACAAAAGATGAAGTGAAAAATTACTTTTCTTTGCAAATGGAAACAATAGATCCCATGGGTAATTCTATTTTCTACGAACACTATGCAAACGGAGCTGTACACAAAAGAGATTTTAAAAGATAAAATTTTATTGTTTTTTTATTACATTAAATAATTTGTTTACATTTTAGATGTATTATAAAAGATTACATGGACTATAAAATACCAAAAACAATGATCTATGTGTATGTCTATTTTTTTATATATCAGACTTAGATATTTAAAATAACTAATGATTTTTGAAATATAAAGCCTATTCTTGGTATTTATTTAAATACAAATATCATGGAAAGGAAATATTTACCGGTTGTAAGACTCTGTCAAGCCTGAGGAGTCCGACTGGATGGGTACCACCCCCTTATCTATGCCCGCCAAGCAACAATGATTACATTGTTGTATTTGTGTTTGAAGGATAAGGTAGCCAGCGTAATTACAGGCAAGAGGCATATCATCTTAATCCTCACAGTGACAACGCACCTGCGGTTCTGCATTTTTGTAACATAGAACCTAAGTGCATGAACCGTAGGTGTTATGGGCGACAGGTGCCGCTGTCCATCTGGTGGGCTGTCTGCTCGTTTGTCACTGAATACCATAAAAAAAAACAAAAAAGAATTAAATCATTTATTTAATATCGCTATCAGTCATTAATCAATTTGTTTTTCAAATTAATCTATGATGCAATGCTGTAAACATATTTTGTGGTTACTATTTTTACTGTTTTACATTTTAATTATATTATTTTCATATTTCAATTATATTATATTTAATTTTTTAACTAAATAAGGGGTACGAAGTTTAAAATCATTTAGTACAACACAGGTAATTTTACCTTTGGAGATAGATTTTTTAAGGTACGAGTCCTATCCCGTAAGGTATTTTATTAATAAAAAAATAATAAAATCGATTTAAACTTGACCAAATTAATTGCGTAGCGCACATATAAAAAAATCTTACAATATTCTACAATATAGAAAATTGTAAGATTTTTGAGAATAAAAATCTTACAATATAGTACGTCGTGCTTTTTAAAGTTGATTAAAGTAATATGTATATTATCGATGATGATAATATATTTTATTTATTATTTTAATCAGCCCCTTTTTAAAATCCCACTGCTGGGAACGGGCAACCGTTCAACACGATCGGAATCAGGCAGTCCACCACGCTGGCCAAGTGCAGTATGACGAACTTCACATGTCTTTCGTTAGTTAGGCCCTCTCAGACCTTAGAATTATTTGCACACTAATATACGTTATTTGAACCCGCATCACTTGGTTTTCCAAACGAGCACGTTACCACTGGGCTACCACTGCCTTAATAAAAAGTATAATGAAGGTTAATAGAAAATAAAACTGAACAAATAACCAACTTATTTGTATGCAGGGCAGCTTTATTCATCGAGTCTAATAATAAGAGATAGCCATTCTAATACATCTTACTTTTCACGACTTTATATGTAAATGTATTTATATCAACTTATAGTGTTCATGATAAATAAAATGATGTATTAACTAGAGTTTTCTTTAATGTTGGAAA